AGAGAGATGAACTTTAAGTTACGCGAGAGATGTAGGCAGAAAAAAACAAAAACTTAAAAAAACTGGTGGTTAAACATCATTGGCAGTACATTTTTTCAACAAAATTAGTAATTTTCATATACGTCCAATCTAATATGTGGTATACTGATCTTCCATTACTGTTCACAAATTACCACAATCTTGCTCTTAGAACTTTATTTTTTGAAAAAAAAAAAGGTGCTCCAACAGCAGCCAACTTGTGATTGTTCAAACTTAAACATTTTCCTAGAACAGAAAACGGAGAGATGAACTTTAAACTATATAATAGATGTAGGCAAAATAAATAAATAAATAAATAAACTTGATTCCATCTCTCCTTAATCTGAACAAAGGACAAGCGAAAAAAAACATGTCAGGGGTCCTCTTAAGTAACTTCCCCGTCCCCTGAACAATCTGAAATCTCGTTGTAGTGGATAAAAAAGATCCTGCTGGTCTAGAAGTTGAGAATGTTTTGATGGGTTTGCCGTGTTTAGACCAGGGGTCTGAAACTCCAGACCTCTCTGTCCTGTCACCTGTCCTGCAGGTGTCAGAGGTTTCCCTGTTTCAACACACCTGATCCACATCAAAGAACCCTAACCCTAACCCTAACCCTGACCCTTCATAATTGTGAGAAATAAATATTTTTTGGTTAAACTTGTTTGGACTTATTGTACAAACCTATTTAACATCCACTATTTTAACATAATATTATGTATAGAGTTTAATTCAGTGTTTCAAGATTCATTTCACTATTTTTAAATTAACGTCTATATTGCCATGAAGCAATTAGGACTTTCTTGCCTGGGATCTTCCTATTGGTGACCTAATCAAAATGGCCGACTTGGATGTGGGGGGGTTGGATATCCATCCTTGTCTTCCTGCAGACTTGATTAATGTTGGCGGGTTATTATTAGCCGTTAGCCGCAGCTAGCAATTCGAGGCTAACGTCGTGTTAATGATCATAAACAACACAAATAAATAAATAAATCAGAGAGAAGGGGGGGGGGGTATCGATACTTTTGAAAATGAGTATCGTATCCGGATACAACGTTTTAGTATCTAAAATTTTTTGAGTGTTAATACTTTTGACGACCCTAGCTGTAGGTCACCTGTCCTCTGCTTTGATTAATGTTGGCGTGTTATTATTATTAGCCATTAGCCGCAGCTAGCTAATTCAAGGCTAACGTCAAGTTAATGATCATAAACAACGTAAATAAATAAATAAATAAATCAGAGAGATACTTTTGACAACCCTAGCTGTAGGTCACCTGTCCTCTGCCGGGGCTCCTCCTGCCTCTTACTGCCGTTGGAGGGTTTCCTGAGGGAGCCCTCTTGCCTCTGCAGGGTGGTGATCCTGTTCCTGACGTAGTCCTTGATTCCTCTCCAGGAGCGGGTCCTCAGCGCCCGCGGCTCCGCCTCTAGGCACCGAACGCAGTCGCTCTTCTGGGGCACCCGGCCCTCCCGGATCAGCCTCATCAGGTGTCTCTCCACGGCTCGCACCTCCTCTTCCTCCCACTTCAGTTTGGCCCTGTGGTGGGAGTCTGTAAAAGCCGAAACAGGAGCGAGCTGCAAAACCAAAACGGGAACACACAACGCAAACAGCGTGGAAATGAAAAGGGCAGAACGGTCTTGACCTCGTTTCCTTAATGAGTCGGACGTTTGAGCCTCTTCGCCATATGAGCCATGCTGTCCTTCCCCAAGCTTCAATCTCACTGTAGTAGAGACAAAAACAGGGAGACCGGTGTTGGTTTTACCTCACAGACCCAATGTCAGGAATTATCTGTGGACTCTCGGGATAAAATGCACACATTCCTACCCAGGTGACCTCTATGGCCCATCCAATAGGAGGGATCAGAGCCACGTTTAGTTATTCATTCAGGTATTCTTTGTATTCTATTGTTCCACCTACAGTAAATTAACCTCAGAGCTCCACCATCAGTTAGAAGTGATGAAGCCTCTTGGATCAGAGGCCAAACGTCTTCTAGAAAACTTCACCTCCAGTTGCCTAAACTGAACTTTCCAAGCTTGACCAGGACCTGGATGACTAAAAATCTTCACAGATTCCTTTCTTTATACTTATTCAAATTTGCCACACAGAAAACAAACCCTTGGCCTCAAAAATCTTTTAAAGACCTGTCCAATTTTGCTACAAGCCAAGATGGAATTCGGTCGTTCTTGGTGGCAAATATTAGGGATGTCCCGATCCAGCTTTTTCCACTTCATATCCGATCTGATCCCGGCCTACCAGAGCATGTATTAAAGTTTAAAGTTCTTTATCTACTTACTTAGTTGTCAGACAACTCGGGAATTACTCTGATAACAACTTAATGGTTAGGACACAGACCTGTGGGTTACAGATGCTAACGCTAATGCTCGTGTGGGATCGGACTTAAAAAAAAAAAAACTGGATCCTGAGTCTGGATTTGCATTTTCTCCTGCCGGCCGATACGCAGTTATTTGCAAAAATCGGCGGCCGATCTGATCCAGATATCGGCCTATAAGGAACCATTTGTATCAAATACGTCTTGTTTTCTTTTGTATCTATCGTTTTGTTTTGTTAGGGACACAGGTTAGGAGATGCTAATGCTAATGCTAATGTGGGATCGGACTTAAAAAAAAAAAAACTGTATCTGAAATCTAGATCAGCATTTTCTCTTGCTTTCTTTCGTATCTATCGTTTTGTTCTGTTCATGTTGGTAAGGTTACTACCACAAAGCTGGAGTGATCACCTAGGGACTGGGCGTGCGTGAACTTGAACTTTCCAAACTTGACCAGGACCTGTATGACTGAACACTGAAAACAAACCCTTGGCTTCAAAACCCTTTTGAAGAACTGTCTAATTTTGCTACAAGCGAAGATGGAATTAGGCCATTCTTGGTGGCAAATATTAGGGATGTCCAATCTTTTCACTTCATATCCGATCTGATCCCGGCCTACCAGATTATGTATGAAAACTTAAAGTTCTTTATCTATTTACTTAGTTGTCAGACTCATATTGAACAGGGATTTTCTCTAATAAAAACGTAATGGTTAGGACAAAGGTTAGGAGATGCTAATGCTAATCGTTATTCTATCGTTTTGTTCTGTTCATGTTAGTAAGGTTACTACCACAAAGCTGGAGTGCTCACCTAGGGACTGGGCGTGGGCGTCGTCACACATGGCGTCCTGTCTCAGGACGTGGATCTGGTGGTCGGGGCCGAATATCCGCGCGGCCTCGCCCTCGTCCAGCTGCAGGAGCTGCGCCGCGGCGGCGTAGTGCCGGCGGATGCTGACGGCCGTGAGGCCGGCGGGGCGCTCGGCGCCGCATTGGCTGACGAACATCTGGACGCAGGCGGAGCCGCTGTAGGCGCTGGGCGCGCCGGGCCGGCCGAAGACGAAGGGGTTGCCGCGGGAGACGCCGCACGCCGCGCGCGACCCCACCAGCAGCTCCAGGGACGACTCTAGACAGGGCCTGAGCAGAACGGGCAGCATCCTCCCCGAGCTGCCCCGGACCTCCACCCGGGGGAAGAACCCGCACAGAGTCCTCTCCAGACCCGAGACGCTGGGGTCCAGGTCCTCCAGCGCGTCCGCCTAGGGATGGGGATCGTTAATATTTATTGATATCGATACTCCTTATCGATCCGAGTCTTTATCGATACCACTATCGATACTTTTCTGTTATTTGGTGGAAAGACGATGCGACAATATTTAGCAAATAAATAATTATACTTTAAATTAAATGTAATTTTTAATAAATAACTAGCTTGTATGCTGCCAATTACAACAGGGATTTCACAATTACTATTGTAATAATACAAAAACGACCAGAGTCGATAGTGGTATCGATAAGCCCAAACGTTATTGATTTTCCGGTTTTGAAAAAAGTGGAACCGGGTCCTTGATAGTGCCGGGTTTCGATCCCCATCCCTACCTGCGGCTGCTTCCTTGAGGCGAAGGCCTCCACGGGGATGGAGGCCACCTCTTTGCTCCTCCTCCGGTTGAAGAGGATGACCCGGGCCAGAGCCACCCGGGCCAGCGCGGCGTATCTCTGGGCGCTGAGGCTCTGGGCGCTGAGGCTCTGGCTCTGGGCGCTGAGGCTCTGGGCGCTGAGGCTCTGGCTCTGGCTCTGGCTCTGGGCGCTGAGGCTCTCCCGGAGCTGCTGCTCCGCCTGCCGCTGGACGGCCTCCAGGTGCAGCAGCAGGAGCCTCACGTCCCGGGCCAACGGCGCCCGCCTCTCCTTCTCCCGCTTCATCTCCCGCAGCCCGGTCAGCGCCTCCGAGGAGACGAGCCTAGGGATGGGGATCGTTAATATTTATCGATATCGGTACCTTTATCGATACTACTATCGATACTTTTCTGTTATTCGGTGGAAAGACGATGCGACAATATTTAGCAAATAAATAATTGTATTTTAAATTAAATGTAATTTTTAATAAATGTTGGCATCAGTAGTTTAACTCATTGACTGCCAGCCATTTTCAGAACAGAGTCCCATACTGCCAGAATTTTTTGAGCATTTTGACTGATTTTTCAAGAGCCACAGAATAGTTTGTGCTATGACTATGTAAACACCGAACACACCAAAAGAAAGAGTAGACTCTCTTCTTTCATCAGGGAAAAAAATTAGTTTCTACCTTATTCCGTTCTTCCTCGACGTGCGTCTCACCGGCGCCATTTCTCGCATAGCGAACCATTGCGTTTTTTTTTATTTGCCTACAGTCTATGCTCATCTCCCATCAAAAGTGGCACTGTCGGGCCGCAGCCGTAGCCTAATGGCTAGAGCGGGCGGCCCATATACAGAGCCTGTGCTCGTAAGCGGGTGGCCGTGGGTTCGAATCCGGCCCACGGCCCTTTCCCGCAGGTCTCCCCCTCTCTATCTCTGCCCCCTTTCCTGTCAACCTACT